GGAAGTTCAAACAACTTGTAATGATCCATAACGACAGTGCGAGACAGTTGTGAACAGTTTTGACTGGATGTAGTCAGCTCTTTGCACGATAGCAACAACTGCAATCTCATCAAAGTACCCCTTCTATGTCTATTCCGTCAATAAATCTTGTACAAACCCCATTTTCACCATTTTTGGTACCTCAAAATTAGCGTGAATTGTGCCTTCAGGTGAAATGAGTGTGTTTGTAGGAGTTCCCCTTCTCGCTAACTAGGGCTCGAAAAGTTCTGTAAGTAATCACGGTGGAAGAATCGTCAACCAAAAGTAAAGAGGGGGAGCAAAATGACCAGCTGCACTCCCTTCCATTAATCGTTCTTCGATTTAGAAGAGAAGGTTCTATGATGCCAATGGAAATGGTTAATTTGAGCAATGGACAGGAGAACTGATGTCACTGAAAACCGTTACTTTAGTTGGCGGAAAATTTGTCAAACGTTTAGCTATCATTGCGTCATTATGATTGATGAATTTATGTTTTTCATCGTCTCGTTTTTGTCATAATTGAAGGAATAGGGCGGACGCGATTCTGAAAAGGCGTTCCTCTGTTGTCCCAGTTTGCACTGTCACAGTGAGCAACGGGACAGTTCGCCATGGCTGGACTCAGGCTTGGGACGTGCTTCATTTTGCTGTTCATCACCTTCTTCTTCATTGATGGCTTCGGGTAAGTTGAACGGGTAAGGTTTGAACTGAGGTTAATCAATCGGCCTTATTTTCTCGCCCAACAAGAGACCACTCAATTAAAAAGTGTTTGTATCCTGTGTATCTCAGGGATCCGCACGCCGCTCATTCCTATCCCCAACCAATCTGAACAGCTTTTACTTCAACTTGCGACTGTCGCTAGACTTCTGTACCATTTCTCTCTCAGTATAAAAGTTATGCTGGTGATGATGGAAGCGCTTCGATCCTTCCTTATTCGCGGCCATTTCAAGCTCATTCACATTCAAATATGTGGAAATTCAATCGGCATGAACACTGTAAAAGCGCAGTTGTATGGCGATCCAACAAGGGTAATTCCCGGTCGAAATGACAATCTAGCAACCATTTCAGTGAATATCAGTTGCATGGAGGGTTGCGAGAGTGCGAGCATTTCCCTGTCTCCCTCTGTACGCCATCACTGACATTCCTGATTACACTATACCAGTGGAAAGACTTTTTTCACCCGATTTGATAGAGTGACTCAGATGCTGAATCGTTGGCTAGTTGTTGTTCTTGAAATCTTGCCCTCGGAAGTCTTACTCCATATTCCTAAAGATAGAGTTCAAGATGAAAAATGCTTTTTGGAATATGTTCAGTCAAGAATGAATCTGTGACATCTATGTGTGCCGTAAGCGGAACGGTTGGATCGAAAAAACGGCCTAAATAGGGGGTGTGGCTGTAATCCGTCAAAGAGTGTACCGGCTGTATGCCACTCCAAAGATGAATGTTGCGGCGACGTCGCAGAGAGAGCCCGATTCACAAGGAACATCAATGTTGGAAGTTCAAACTGGTCGATCCATGGCAACTATGGAAGGGAATCTTGGACATCTCCGGCCATTGTAGTCAGATTCTAATGTAATGGAATTGCAACAACTGAATTTTCGCCTAAGTACCCCTTTCATAGCACATCCGTCATGGGTATCTCGTACAACCCCTACTACCTGTAACAAACCCCGTATTTCCAGAATTCTGGCGAATTTTTCCCTTTCTTCGAGGCTGTTGGACTGTTCTTCTCCAGCCACCCACATTTCAACTCAAAAAGGGTGAATCAAAATCATTGTGAACTGTGCCTTCCAGCATAAACTACAAGAAAATGCTCTTGTGGAAGTATCCATGGTAATTTAACAAAACAAAAAGGGATATAATCTTAAGTGGTATAGAAGCACATATAGAGCGTATTTTAGTAGAGTGCAATTTAGTTGCGTAGTATCAATCAGTCGGACCTATTCAAGGTATGCGATGGACAGGGTACAGCTTATGCTTCAAAGAATTCTCTATCATTAGTCCAACATCTATAGTTACGTGTGTTAGTTCCCATGCGGCAGCATCCTCAAAATAGAATAGTGATCAAGTGCACATGGATGAAGCTGAACCTACGAGGTTGAAATTTATTTTCAGGTACCCGACTCAAGCGGCTCACAATGTACGACGTCGTCAAACTGTCGTAGAGCAGACGCAGACGCAGACAGAAACGCAGTCACGGTCGGAAGTTATCGAACAGGGAGGTGGAGGTTGGGGTAGAGGTGGTGGTTGGGGTGGAGGTGGTGGCTGGGGTGGGGGTGCTCCACCTCCACCTCCACCTCCTCCTCCTCCTCCTCCTCCCCCTCCCCCGCCTCCGCCTCC